CTCAAGCAGCCAGATCCTCGTCAGCGCTATCTTCCGTCCTACGAGATAGAACTTGGTATACAGCCTGTGCCAATACTCAGTGGAGATGTGTCAGAGGCGCTATGCAAGTATTGTATTGCTTTTGGATAGAGGAAAAGCCGCAAAACGCTGCCGGTCTCTTCGAAGCCCTGTTGACAAATGAAAAGCGAAAACAACCAACAACTAAAAAAAGCCTTCCGATCCTTTCGCAGAGACAACATCATCAGCCACATGAAAGATCAGCACAAGACTAAATATGAAGAGTTCATTTCACTACCAAAAGGAAGTCGTTTGCGTCTTAGTTTTTTCGATCTTCCTACAATGATGGATTCTTTTCTTGGCGGGACTTACAGCTGCCATCTTGAAATCCCCAATGATAATTAGTTGTATTTGGAAGCAAGTCCGCGAGCTGAGAGAAACGTACGAATTCGACCCGACCTTCAAGAACATCGTCGATAGGTCGTGCAATAGAGATGTAGTCCAGGCCACCGTGGGTCTACGCGCTAGAAGGTCAGCTACAAGCAAAGCAGTACTTTGAGTTGATTCCTCTCGCAAACTCCAATGCGGCTAGATCCCTCATAGAAAAGTGATCCCTGCAGCTTCTAGGCATTCCATGCATTTAACCACTGATCCAATATTAAATATAATCCTATATCGACTAGCGAAGTAGGCATGAAAAATCGTAGGGGAAGAACGCATAGGATTTTAGGCTGTGCTGCCTAGATAGAAGAGGCCTGCCTAATGAGTTGAGTTGGCTCGATGCCTGGGCCGCCTATGGAGACAGCAGGACGATAGCACTGCTTAATGTCGCTATAACATCACGCGGGGGTGCGCTACGGCAACCCCTGGAAGATTCTTCCCTCGGAAAGCCTAAGTAATGTCATTGCCCCCTTGTACAAGAAGCTACGTAGTTCGTATCCATTGTTTCTCCTACGCGAACGTGTATTTGCGCTGAGCACGCCGATACCATCCGTGTTACTATGTGCTAAAAAAAACTGAAGACAAGAGTTTTTTTTCTTCTTCTTCTAATACAGTCTTCCTGCCGACATGACTGAAATTATTGCAGGATGGATAACCTCGCGGTAGCATATTTCACTGTGATCACACGATGCTATTGGACGTATATTCGCAGGTTCGTTTTGCTGAGGCTTAAAAAGTCTGTCTGCTTTCCTCAGTCACATTAGGGCTTCGTGTAGTTTGGGATAGGTATGTTTAAGAGGAGTACAAATCTTTTATCTCTAGTATTTGGATTACTGTATAACATTTGTATAGCCGGACAGGGTAGTTTTTTATACTTACAGAAAAATGCACTACCAAGATAAAAACCTCATTATTATAATAAAAAACGTGCAGCTGCATTACTTATTTCGCTTCAACATCATCATCACTGTATCTCTCGAACATGTCGTCCGAGTCACTAACAGCGTCTTCAACAGCATTGAGGCGCTCCAACTCCTCCACTAATTCATTTACTGGTTCCACTCTTGTCGGTTCTTGTGTATCATCAGGCTCATCCATACCCAGCTACCACAAAAAAAACAGTTGCCACACCTTCATCTTCGGCTATGGCCTGTGTCTTCAGCTGCAGCATCAATCGTAACACGGGGACGCCCTCCTCGCGCAACGAGAGCACCCACTCTTTCAGAGCCTCTTCTCCCGCTGTAGAAATTGTCGTTGCAGTGCCAACCTTCCGGATTTCGTTTTAGTTCACTGACGACAAACACACGGATTCAATACGCTCCCGGTCTTTCAGCCATTCGTAAATTCGTTTTCGTTTATTTTCACGCTTTTTTTGTACAAGGTATTGGTAGAACTTGTCTAGTGTAGCTTGCATTCCGTTGTTGTCGTGAAAGTTAATCACCTCAAGCCTCTTCTGATACGTCTCCACTTCTCGCTGATAGTTGCTGGATTGCCGACCGCCGCCCCCAGGAGCACGCTTTCGTCCTCGTGGCATTGTTCTTGAAAGGTCAGGTAAATGTGAGAGAGTGGGTACAGATCGATTAAAAATAGCCCTTCAATGTGAGATAGTGCGCTTCTGAACGAAGTAAAAATAGTTCTGCAAATCTCTCAAGTTTAGGTTATTCTCGAGAAATGCGTTGTTATGATTGGCTTAGCGAGTGTCCGCTTGAAGATATTGTCCGGCTATACAAATGTTATACAGTATATTAGGATAACGACTGAGGTGGTGGATCTCAACTGATAGTTTCGTAACCAACGTGGTACAAGAAGGTTCCCTGTTAGTCTAGAAACCCACCACTAGCTAGTTGGAGCTTCTGACCTCACCTTACAATCTACTTTTAACAACACAAGCGCCTTCTCATCCGACCCCAGCGACTCATCCTTTGCAGTAGCTCCCAACAGGTTATAAGCCCAAACTGTCAACTAAATCGGCAGAAGGCCAACCAATGCGCAGATCAAGTGCGGATAGAGCAAGCTCTGTCACGAGTGCGGGAGAAACACTATACCTGGTACGTCGGTCACGTGATGACCAACAGAAGTACCATCAACCGCTACATTGACCTTGAGATACCGACAAGAGCGGCCAGCACTGCGAGGTGGACGAAAAACAAGGTTGTGAGCCCGACGAGGTCAGCGTGGAGCACACCGAGATGTCGTTCCTTTTTTCAGAATTTACCGTAACCGCAGACCAACGTGGTATACCGTTCGAGGCACCAGCATCACCTGTGAGGTTTCCACCCAACTCCCGACCAATGACGACAACTAGCAATGAAGCGCTTGTCATCATGATCGAGAAACTGCAGCAACAAATGCATGAGATGGTACTTCAGCACGAGCTTGCAACACCATCCGCAAACGACGTAAGTATGCGCTTAGTACCATCGTTGCCAAAACAGCCGACGGTTAAAAACGTGAAGTATCGTTTCTTTGACGGCATCGAAGTATACCCCAGCCTGGGTGCAGGTTTCGAGTTCTTCCTAAAAGAGTACAAACGCGCCGTGCAACGAGAGACGCTAATAGACTTGGCGTTGTATAATAGCGGATAACCACTGTTCTACTTGACTGCTTGAGCAGGTTGGCCGTGCACGACAGCCGGAAACTTGCTTAGCTCTCCACAGTATTCACCGATGACGTCTCCGATGTCAAGAGCGGTTGTAGTGTAGACTCCGAGGTCCGTGCGGCACGTATGAAACAGTTTGAGAGTAGTAAGCGTGGGTGGGGCGCTGCTGCAATTCGCTCTAGGTTGTACGCACGCAGGGTGCAGAACGTCGCCAAGTCCACATTCCGACAGACGTCCCAGCAGCAATCTCCAATACAGTCACATGAATCAAACTTCCCGATGTCGGGAAATTTGACTCCGTTGCGTTTGCAGGTGGTGGTCTTCTTGATCGCGGCCGGCCATGGCTGTTCTTCCTGAAGTATGCATGGCTCCTTAGCAGTAGGATCAGGATAGAATGTCCGACTGACGTGTAGGTTTTTAAGAAGGCTTAACTTCAGAAGAGCTTTCTAGAGTTTTGAATATGAAAGCTTTCACTGTCTTTGCATCGTAGATTGAGCTTCCACTCCACGAAATGGTACATTTGGCCAGATCACGGCGTTTGCGCGACCTGGGCACAAATCACTGGTTCTTTCGCTACTTCGGTTGGTGGTGAATCTTGTCGCGGCCGGAACGGGCTGGAATAGTGCCGAGGTATGCCGCATTCTCTACCAGTTTGTAATGGTGTATGGGTTGGCAACTGTAGGTACCGAATTTTCTGAAGAAGAAGAAATCAAATCAATAATTTGATTGATACATCCATTTTAATCGGTTATGGTCATATATTCTTGTTGCCTACTGTGTTTTGCAGGTGGGGCTTTGAAGAAGGGTTACTCATGGGTGATGCGGACACAGTGGGCTCTGGATTCGGAACCTTTTTTCATGAAATCGTCCGACTGTGAGCTCCCCCGCACAATTTATTCGTGTGTCTCACGAACCGCCTCATAGACGGCTTTTAATGAACCTTCACTGCATCGTCAAGGACTTTTCTGAGTCCGCTGGCCATCGAAGAATCCGAAACGGACCCAGCAGCCAATTCGTAAGTCCCCACATTTCGCCACTTCGTGGCTTTCGGGCCAAACGGCTTCCCGAAGCGGTCTACCAGCTGCTTTGCCATCTTGCACCGTGTGATGGTGTCACCGGTATCGACGTCCAGTGAATACTCGGCGCTCTCCATGGTGTCGACCTTCGCTAAAACCTACCCACAGTGTACAGCCAGGCAATATTGAAAAGCATTGCCAGGCTGCACTGTTCGTGTCTTATTGTGGAAGATGGGTTATTGTGCTGCCCAGATATCTACCTATGTTTATAACATCTCCTACTTTTGAAATGACCAGGCCTTTAGTTTTTTTTATCAATGACAAACAGTGCACTTCGAGTTGTATACATAGGTTTGTATCTGACGCAGTACGTAAACTTCACCTTTTTAACGCCGAGCGTTTTGGTGGCTAGGAAGCTGTAGCAATTGAATCCATTCGATTTTCCACTGAAGAACGACCGACTTAAGGATCCTATTCAATTCGATTGTTGATCAAAACCTATCTACTGAACGCTAGCACGGCGACCAACTCTAGAAACCATCGCGAGGACAACGGGATACTTTGAGTACGAAGAGCGCAAAACACTTCACCAATCTTTTTATCGGGTGTGGTGCTACTCGGATGTATCCCATTTGCAAACATTGCAATCACGATTACAAGGATTCGGAGCTGGTTGACAAAACTAATGCACTGCTCCAGCCATTACAAATCCCAGGAAGAGCAGAAAACTACAGAAGTCATCTAAAACGCTGTGGGCATTTCAAAACCTACATCGAACCACACAATACTGCCAATTATTCCTATAACGTGGCAGCCTCGAGAGAGTCATTCTCTGACACTAGTGGACGGACTTCCTGAGCCCCCGCAAATCGACAGAGGATGCTTGATGCATTTTACGCTGGTAATACAAAAGAAGACGAAAACAAAATTCTGGAGAGACTTCTGGTCGAGTTTCAAGCATGTAATAACTTGCCGGATTGCTTTATCGAGCGGAAGACGACAGTTCGTCTACTACGTCAAACTTCTAGGATGGAGTTTAATACACATCCTCTTCCAAGGCGTAAGACCGTAGGAGGTGTTGTCTTGAATCCCTATTCATTAACATGCATGAACAACAAGAGCCCTGCGCTTCGTGCGTGTCAAGCGCAATCTGGAGGGCGCGTTAAATTTTTATCAAACGTACGGCAAATATTGCCTGGGTGCATCTATTAGGATGCCCGCTAGCTTTGTATGCAGCGTCGGGGGTATGCAAGCCCTTCCGGACGGTTTTATTGATTACTTCCCTTCGGAGATGCTTGCCAACACGGGTACCATCGCCAGCCGCCGTAATCCCGTGCTGATGCGTCTTAGACAAGCCTCCCAAGCACTTCGACCATACACGGGGAGTTTGGGCAGCGTTTCGGGACACGCGATCCGCGTCAGCCGGTTTGTTGACCTGCCCGGAAAAGACTCTTCCCTTCGGGGTGACAGGCTATTGGTTCGTCGACGCAATCACTAGGGCGGGCTTATTGAGAGCGTTTTGGATCTGGATGAGCAGGTGATGATGCTGAAGGAAACGGTGGATGTGATACCCTTAGGTGTGACGAGAGTGGAAGAGACGTATGCAGCCATGATATCGCCGTCTGCGCGTTTGGAACCTGATCCCCAAGCTCTGGTGAGGTCAAGTGTCCGTGGAACGGTAAAGGACAGGTCTTTTGTGCTAGTAGAGGGCATTCCAGGAACGGACGAGTCATTTGGGTCGCTAGAATGGTGTGCATGGTGACGGATGGAGCGGTGTTGGTTGAAGCCCTGCAGCGCTCCCGCTGAAGAGGTCGAGAAAAGTCCGGTGCCTATATTGCCACCATGACTGTCGTGCCAGAATCGGCTTTCATGACTAGGGTTCCAGGGCAAAACGGGACGCCGGCGAACATTAGCGCAGTGATAAGTGTCACAAGTGGGAACTCCAAGACCCAAGTTGGAACGAGGGAAGCTGAAATGGTCGTTGCAATGGAAAGCGGTGGTGATGGTGCCTTCGAGGTGGACTTTAGGACTCATCGTTTAGGGCGAACAGAGGAGACTTTTCGCAGAGGTGTTAAAGACACGAGGGACTTGTTCGTCGAGACATCCGAGTAACCGGGAAGAGCGGAACTCCTGAAGTTAAGTACTGATACTGGAATGCATATGTCAATTAAGCAGCCCCTGTATAGAGTGTCGAAGGCTGAGGGAGATGTCCTGGAGTCGGAGATCCAAGAGTACCTAGATCTTGGTCTCATCATACCGTCGACAAGCCCATGGGCGATCCTGGTGCTCATGATACAAAAACCGCACGAAACAAAATCGGTTCTGTATCGATTACGCAAGTAGAAAGCCGTCACTGTGAAGGGCAGCCGCCCGATGCCATTGATCGAGACATTCTGGACGTCCTCGGCAACGCCAAGCTTTTCTCCAATATGGATATTGCTTTAGGATATTGAAACGTTTCAATTGATCCGGATAGCGTAGAGAAGACGGCCTTTACGGGCAATTATGGGCTCTTCGAGTGACTAGCCATGCCATTTGTTTTGTGCAACGCCGTTTCAGCCTTCGAACGATTGTTGGAGAACGATTTATTCGATTTTCAGCGGAGAACTCGTCTTGTCTATTTGGATGACTATGGCCTCGGTAGCGACAACTTCCAACCCCCGTGCGTCAGGTATTGGAACTCTCCAGGGCTGCGGGTTTCAAGTTAAAGATGAAGAAGCGTGATTGGGGACGGGACCAGGTGGCGTTCCTTGGCCATACCGTGACATCTACTGGAATCTGCGAAATCCGGAGAGAGCGAAGACTATGATGAATACCAAGAAGCCGCATGACCTATCCATGGTTAGGGCGCTCCTGGGTTTAACTAGTTACTTCAAGCTCTACATACCGGGTATCGCTGCGATTTCCGTGCCATCGGAGAGCTTGAAGCAGAAGGGAGTTGAGTTCCAACGGAACGACGACTACGAAGTGCGTTCCGAGAGCTATAGATAGCACTGATGAAGCCTCCTACCCCGATTTCAAGGATCGGTTTTAGCTCTACGTCGATGCGTCATAGGGCAACCGATGAGACAGGACTATCGCGCATGCTAGCAAGATGTTGGTCGGATCCCAACGGCGTTGGGTTTACAAGCCAAGTGGAACGACCGAGATCGAGTGCTGGGGGGTTCTATGGGCAACGCGCAAGTTCCGGCGTCATCTCGACCATGCCGAGTTTGACTTGTTCACTGACCATAGGTACTCACGTGGAGTTTTGGTGAGAATATGAGAACGTCGAACGCCAAGTCGGCTCGGTAGGCGATGGAGTTGTTGCAGTTACGGTTCAAGCTGCACCACAAACTCGTGACTTCAATGGGTCTTGTGGACGGCTTATCGAGGCGCTATCGGCATCAGGACGAGGGTGTTGTTGGCTATTTGGATGGCTGACATCCTCAACAAAGCGTCGGATGATGCTGCCGTCCAGAATGGAACGGCAAGCTCACGAAAAACGCTAGGGCGGGAAGGAACGTCAGACCCAGGCGGTACAGCTGCCTTGAACGCCGCTGTTGTGCAGTTTCAGTCGGGGAGCGCTCTGAGACCTCAGTTCCTAGTGATGGTACTTCTGCAAACAACAGGTCGACCGAGAATACACTAGCTTCGGCTGAACTCCTCACACAAGCTGAGCAGGAGGAAGATCTACAAGGAAGAGTTCCGCTAACTAACTTGTCTCCAGTTGACATGTTCGGATTGGGCTACTCCAAGTTCGTGGCGGAACAGGAACGCGTGCTCTTGATGAGTGCTTTGAAGGTGTTTCTACAGGACGGAGCGTTGGAACTCGATCCACAGCTAAGAGTGAGTGTGCTGAAGATGTCTCCACACTATTCAATAAGGATCAGAGGTTTTGGTGCGGCTCGTTCACTTGGGAGCACGTGCCGGTTTTCAGCCAGGACACACTGCGTTTCAGCGGTGCCGTAGCCGTTCATAGGGACTGTCATTCTCTACGGTCGCGCCGACACATTTTTGGCTCACTTGGGGAGCCCTAAGACGACTGACAAGGTGAGGCGACACTCGGTGTAGCACTATTGAGGGTTTCCATGGTTCTCGACGGTATGTACCGGTTATCGAACTTGTCCAGTCCAATCCCGCGATGATTACCGTACGTTCATTACGCCATCAGTGATTAGAGGAGTAGGATGATTGGACGAGTGCAGAGTGTTGATGATTGGATGACTTCAATGATTGGATGCAGACTAGGTAGTGAGGGCACTGTAAACTCCGATAAATCACTCACTTTTGAATTTTCATTCTTCCCCACAACTGGCTTCGGTTTTCCTCTTCAGGTGGTGACCCTTCCCTTCGTTCCATCCAAGTTCTACGTTGGCCAAGATCCGTGACCTTTATGAAGCACGGTTGGGTTACCGGAGTGCGACCGTCCGTGTGTAGGGGCCAAAAATGAAGGGCCCAATTTCAAGTGACTATTTGATCCAGCTGTTGCACGTTTCCATATGCGACAGTTAAATACAGTGTAAACATGACGGATTAGCTTATAAAAATGGTGTTAAAATGGTAAGCTATTTTTTTTTTTGCAAATAGGCTGCCCTATATGCAACGTTGTGGCGCTTTATGACGCTTCTTTCCTTGTATACAGGAAAATCCTAGTCTACGCAGCAGTCGACATATTGTACGCACCAATATAGTTACTTTACACTTTGTAGTAATCTCATCTCAAATCCGTTTTGCTGTAATCGGAGTGCTAATTAATTGCATCTATGAACTGTCGAATGACGGGTGCGAAAACACCTTGTCATACATTGGCTTGCGACAACGTGGTGATGTTTCTTGCTGCGACTGTCACATTAATGTATTGTTCGAGGTTAACTGATAGGTTGCCGTTATGAAATCTAGGCACCGACAGCGTCAAACATCGCGTCACCAAGCTTCTTGTATTCCACCCACACGCGCTTCTCAGTGCTTACAGAGACTCAAAGACAAGCACCACGATTCCGCGATCGAATGTTTCCTCGCAAATGTGCCCTGACCTCCACGTCTATCTAAACGTAGCACACCACTATCCTGTGCTTTTCAGCAGCGCTGAATTCGTGCCGCTTGAGCTTCCCTACAGCGCGTCTCTCCTGTCCCTGTTGCAAAGATATTGATCTTTTGGTTTCTGAAAAGTATTTGCGGGTATGTTCGTTTTTAAACATCACTAAAGTTAGGGGGTTAAGGCTTAAAATAGCCAGTTATTATAATTCTCGGGCCCTTCATTTTGGACTCTACAATACTGATCGGATGTTACAGGGATACTAGTAGAAGTGCTGCACCAGCGCTAGTACTGGACTTGGTCTAAGTGCCAACCAAGGATAGAATGGGCTTGCAGGACGCATAGACTGTCGCGAGGAGAGAGAGTGCGCCAGCTTCGAGCGTCTACGTGGAGTGCATACAAATGGAACACCGTCGGAGGCCAAGACGGCGAGTCCGACCTCGATTGGAACGCCAACGGAGTGCGTTCCGGATACATCTTCTGACAAGAGTGTGCGGCCTGTTTTGGGCCGGGCGGCTCGGCGGGGGCGCCAAGTGACAGTCGGGTAGAATTGTCGTGGTATACAACTAGATGCGGTGTGTTCACTTTAGACTCAGCGCACCACGTCCTACCAACAAAGTCATGCGGAGCAGACGTCGGTGTTCCTGGTATGAAGTGGGAAGAAAGTCAAGGGAATGTAGAGGTGCTTTGCTGTGGACCGCCACCTGAGACAGATCTGTGGAAAGGTAAGGAGATTCGTGGTCATAGTAGACTGTAAGAAGAAGCTCAGTCCTTCTTAAAAGAGAACTATTCAAGAAAACAACTAATACATTTCACTTTATAGCTAAGTTCACGTTCCTATGGCGGCCTGCAAGATACACGACCCCAGCTAAAAGGAGGAAGACCGCGACAATGTTCTAGCTTGGCTGCAACCTGCGTAAAGAGCCCTGC